TGCTAAAGCAGGTTCCCTGGAATAGCTCACACAGGTAGGCATTAGGTGGGTCTTCAACCTCTCCAGAGGAGGCAGCTTTACAACCTTTCCGTGCAGCCTGTTCCAGTGCTCTGTCATGCCCACAGTAAAGCAATTCTTCCTCATGTTTGCATGGAACTTCCTGTGTTGCAGTTTGTGCCCATTGCCTCTTGTCCTGTTGCCAGGCACCACTGATAAGAGCCTGGTCCACCCCACTTGACTTCTGCCCATTAGATATTTGTGAGCATTGATAAGATCTCCTCTCAGCATTCTCTTCTCCAGGCTAAAAAGGTCCAGGTCTCTCAGCCTTTCTCTGTATGGGAGATGCTCCAGACCCCTTCTTTTCATAGAATCATGGAATCATCAAGGTTGTAAAAGACCTCTAACATCATCCACTCCAACCATCACCAACATTTCCTACTAAGCCATGTCCCTTGGTACAATACTTAAATGTTTCTTGAACACCTCCAGGGACAATGACTCCACCACTTCTCTGGGCAGCCTGTTTCAGCGCATGACCACTCTCTTGGAGAAGTATTTCCTAATGTCCAACCTGAATCTTCCCTGGAGAAACTTGAGGCCATTCCCTTCCCATCAAGAAGAGGCTGACTCCCACCTCACCACAATCTCCTTCAGGTAGTTGTAGAGAGCAATAAGGTCATCCTCATCCTGAGCTTCCTCCATCTTTGTGGCCCTCTGATGGATTCTAGAGAATGCCTTTTGAACTGAAGCTTTTGAACTGAGGAGCTCAGAACTGGACACAGCCCACAACCACACGTATTTATAAGAAAAATGTATTTCAGAGATGTTCTACAGAATCCGGTGCATTTCAAATGAGTAAGTTCACATGTAGTCATTGTCAGTTATGTATAGTTTTAGAAACTTTTATACTCATGTATACATCTTCTTTATTTGTTTTTCCTGTTTTTTTTTTCTGTATTTGTGATAAGCTGGATTTAGCGAAGTGTAGGCATTTTCTCATTTTAAGAGTCATGACATTTAAAATTGCTTCTGCTGTAATGTGAACCTTTGAATCATAAAATATTTTCTATTCATAGTTTTTGTCCATATTTTCTTCTCAAATAAGTGTGTTACAGAAACTCAACAGCACAAGTAAACCAAATTTCTGCACAGAACTGAAAGTAAGTGACTGCGCTACTTTAGTAGTAGAAATGAAAAAAACTTCAGCTAAAAGGTTAAACATGCTTTTGAAATGTTATATTACACTGCTGCATCACACACCTCAGGCTTCCTCAGCTGGGGTCAATTTCTTAATTTTCAGGAACTCCTGTGTTTTACCTTAATTTGGTCAGAGATAGACACAGCTGATCTTTTCTGAATTAATACCTATCACAAGCCGTTTACCAAGTGCTAATATTCCCACTGAGACACCAGGCACATGCCTGTCTGTCAGCCAAGGCAACAGAACCAACAGCGCAACATTTCCCCAGGAAAGCACAGCACAATCAGTTTGGAGATAATTCTCCAGATTCCTTGTCCTTCAAGGTTTGGAACTGTACATAAAGTTAACAAAATATTTTCAAAGAAAAACTGGCACTTCTGAAGATGAAATACATATTTCAGTTTGGAAAACAGATAGCATGGTGAATCTACCAGCACTCTGAAAGCTTCAAACTTGCTCCCAAATAATGGCTCTCTGCTGAAAGAGGTGCCGACACAGAGCCAGCCCAATCCTGGTATTGATTGGGCTCAAGAGGTCTCACCCAGACCTGGTATTCCTGCACATTAGTGGTTGGTGAGCAAGGGAAAGGCAAACAAATATTGAAGCACCCCATGAAAACCATAAACCAAAAGGTGGTGAGGGAAGACGCCAGCCAGAACCAAGCTGTGACTATGCAAGGAGATTTATCTGCTGAGAACTTGAAATGCAAATGTTAAGTTTTATTAATCCGCTTTTTATCTGCAGGGACAACCGATGCAGGCTCCTGAGATAATAAGGTAAAATGGGAATTTGGAACCTATGAGGGAGAAAATGAGTACCAGAAATTTGAAGAGGCTGAATAACAGAGGAGAGGAATAAGACCAGAAAATGGGTCATTATAGTAATCAAATGAGATCTAGAATTTACATTTAATAATGAAACTAAGTGGCAGCTACATGAAGGATACCAGTAAGTAACATCTACAAGGTGACAGTGGTAAAGCAGGGTGTATTTTTTTTATTTCTCTGCTCTGGATAACTTTCTTATTTTCTACTCTGCAAATTCCACTTTCTTTTCTCCCACTTCTCACCCTTCTCCATATCTCTCTTTGCATCAGATTTTCAGCTCAACAGACCCCAAGTTCCTTTTTCCCTCACAGCTTTGTTCCAGGTCCCCTTTTATTCCCCCCTCACCTCCCACTCAGCTCAGCAATTTAATTTAGGTATTTGCAGCCACCTTCTCCCACTGACCACTATGGAGGTGATAAAGAGAAACAGCAGCAAAAGAATGAACAGAAACTGCTGACCAACGAGTAATGAGAAGCTGTAAAATCAGATGTGATTTAAAGGCATCTGCTCTTCTTTCTAAGCAGTGAAGTAGCTATGTAATAAACATCCTCAGTGTACGTTTAATTTCCATTATACATGTCATTTATGGGATAGCCACACAAGTGGTTCAGCTTGCAGCAAGACCTCCTCATTCCTCGGCAGGCTCTGTCCTGATTTTGCACTTCTAGCATATCGCTGAAACGGAGAGAACAAACACCCACATACAGTTCTATTCTTTCGTAGTCTGTACAGCGCGTCTTCTACGTGAGGGGTGCTGCAAGGACCTCCACAGCCAAGCCGGACACAACACAAGTGCCTAAAGCTCCGTTGAGATGAACTATACAGAGAAAATGCTTTCTTGCAAAAAGCATTTTGCAGAATGGCGACTCAAGAACGTTTTTAATGAGTGGTTTTGTAAACATGAGCTCCCGCTGCAGATTGTTTAAACTGCGCAACTAATTTTTAGCTACTTAAAATCTTGTGAAATCTCTTCACGAGGGTGTATTTTTGTGTTGGCTACATTGAAAATGATTACAGTGTCGTAACGCCAAGAAAAAAAAAACAAAAAACAATCCTTAGAAAATACCAAAATTTACTTCTTTATGTTATTATTTTGCTAATAAATTTTCTTAAGCCCCATCTGCATATATGTTAAAATCATCCAGGGTCAGCTTTAGCAATGTGCAAGCTTCACTGGTTCAGAATTTCATATATTTTTCTTTTTTTAGAAAACATGGCATGTGTTTGTATCAGCAAGTTTCACCCGTCATTATCCATCTCCCTCCTACACCTTTCTAGTATAAAAACCCCTTCTGCTTGCTGACAGAATACTAATTTGGCTTCGTTTAAATGCTAGAGCTGCAGAGTCCAGCTATCTCATTTAAAATATGTGTAAAGCTATGAAACAATTGACAAGCACAAGGAAGAGTGTCTGCATGAAATTATTTTTCAATAGACACTAAAAAGCCAAAAGCCTCCCCTAGCCAATTTTTTTTCACACATAACACTTAAAATCAGAGAAGGGAAAAGGGTAGAATTTACTTACTAGCTCACCACTTTATATCACCTGTTAAAATTAAAGGCCAGGTGATATATCTACAGAATACAACTTCTGCTTTTGCAAAGAATTCATTCTTGCAACTACAGCCATATCTCTATTTTGTATGTTTAATATGAAAATGTACATTAAGAAAGCTTGCATTAACCATAAGTGGAGGGCAAGAGGGATTTCTATATAGGAGTAGTACGAAAGATCAAAATATAGAGCTCTGTGGGCAAGAGCTGGGCTGGTGTTCCTCAGCAGTATTACCCAGTGGATGACACTGAGGGATGCAAGCTGCCCTCCCTGGGAAGATGTAGCTCTACGGCATAAAGTGGAGAGCACAGTGCAACCTGGAGCTGGCACGATTCACAGAGTTGGTTCCAAATACTTGGCGTGCAGCTATGTGGAAATGTCTAAGTGGAGTTTAAACACACACACCTTTATATAAAAATGCATGACTTGTTTAACCCATTAATCCACTCACACGTGAATACAAAGCAAGAATGAAAAATGTGCACGAGAGCTCTTACACAGCTGCAGCAGACCAAAACACATCTGAAAAAAACAGTGACCACCAAGGCCAGCATTTGACCAGCATCAAACTGCTCCATGCCAGTGCAAATAGGCAGCCAACCCTCCTATCTCTGGGATGCTCAGCTGAACAACTACTCATTCAGATTTGCTCACAGAGGGTCATGTAGTACATACCAAGTTAAGATAAAGCAGGTTATCTCCCTCCCCCCCAAGCAAAAATGCGGACACAAGCAACCCAAATTTTTCCATCTATCAGTAGAGAAGATCTATGGGCAAGTGAATGATAGCAAAACCTCTTTATACAGATGAATAGGATAGGAAGAAAGCAACTGCATTTTTAAACTCTGTAATTCCTGAAAGGTTAAACAACGACAGAGATTTATCAGTAGAAGCATCGGTAATAATAGCAATAATTAGTTTCAGAGAGTTAATGTAACTTTTGTTATGCAAGACTGCAAGAAGACAATAAGTGCTGCTGGATACTTCTGCATTTCTAGATAGAAGACAAATCTTATTTATGGCTTAGCATTTTAAAGAAATGAAAACATTAAGACCTGAGCCTAGTTTGAAAACTGCAACAAGACCAATGCAGGACTGAGCCAAGGAGCTGACCCATATACCAAAAAATAGGATCTAAAATTAAACAGGAAAATGTACATCATTATTTTAACTTAGCACAAAGTTGCACAGCTAAATCTCTGTGCAGCAAACTGAAAAGTTATCTGTACATTGCAGATTATTATGCATTCAGTGAACACACATTTAAATCATTTTTGCTGTTAGTAGTATTGAATTTTTCATGCATTTTCAAGTTGAATAAATGGTAAGGAAAATAATTCAATAGGTCAGCCATTTCATTAACTTTAGTATTAAACAACTGAATCCTTCAAGCAGAATAAAAAAGCTTTTTTTTTTATGGCTTTGCTTGTGGACCTATGGACCTATGGACTTGTCCAGGGCAGTGGAGCCCTCTCTGAAAAGCCACCTCAGTTTGTCAGAAGCAGCATGGTGCTGGAAATCTGGGGCTGTAAAACTTATATTCCCTGTTGAAACTGTGCTTAGTTCCCACCGAACACTTCAGCTTTTGGACAGATTTACACCTGTGTCCAAAGCTCCTTGTTCCCAAAGGCTAAGATATGCCTAGCTTGGCTTTAATTTTGCTTTAATTTCTGACACTGAGTATCAATTTAACATAGTTTAATAATTTTACAAGCCTACATACATTAGGACCAGGATAGTGCCTAAAATAGTTTCCACACATTTATAAATTACCCACCTGCAATGATCTAACACCACTTAAAGTTTCTTTCAGAAATTTCCTATTGTTAACAAGCATGAGATCCTTCTTTCCTTGATGTCAGTGGCAAAATACTGCAGTGAAGCCAGTGTCTCACTTAGACATGCACTATTCCAGTAAAATAGGGATTACACTGCATTGCAGAACTGAAAAGGATGGGCACAGTTAAAATGAATGCTGGACTGAAAGCTGACTGTGTAAAAATACCATTTTCTTATTCAGCAGTCCTACCTTACAAATACATTCAATCTTGCAGCTGCTTATGTTTATGGCTAAAAATAAAATAAAAAAGAGAGGGTTTTTTGTTGTTGCTTCTGTTTTTTAATTTCAGAGATGGCACATAATGGAGGCAAGCAGATCTGGTTTCTATTGTTTCTCACTCCTGTGATTTCATCACGAATCTCACCAAAGTCTGTCTTTCTCTCAAGGCCACAAAGGTTTCCACATCAGATTTCACTGGGGAAGAAAATGGTAAGTCCGACGACTGCAGAAGAAACTTTGAATTATCTTAATGCAGAAGGGGAAAAACAAAAACAAAAACCCCACTCATTCTATTTTTTTTTTTTTTTCTGGGATATTCGAAGCCCTAAATTTGGCTTGCTTCTAATTATCTATAAAATTACAAAGGACAACTGAGTTTCCAATTCTACAAGCAGTAATCTGAGACAAGCTGGAGCACCCCTACTGAAAAGATTGATGGCAGGATTTTTAATATCGGGCCAAAGTGAGAAAGACAGCCTTCCAGACACTAAAACTTAGACTCACAGTCAACATACTCACTGTACTTAGGAGAAACTTTTTATTTCCAAATCTCACAATTCTTACCTTGTGCTCCCTAAGACAAAATGAATGTAACACTTTGCTGCCCTTCAATAAATCTTCAGTGTTTCACAGCATTGGGTTCTGACTTTCACTTAGGAAAAAAGGAATTTATAATCTCTCAGGGATGTAAAAAACCCAACCTTGGGCACAGCCCAAGTGTAATCAATGACTAAAAGCAAAATCCACATGAAAAAATGAATGAGGAAAGTTGTGTGGCAGTGGACATTCAAGGTCGTGTGTCAGGAGACACCCAAGGTCAGGCTGGAGGGGGTCTGAACACCCTGATCATCTGTAGGTTCATTGCAGGGAAGCTGGACCAGATGACCTATATTGAGTCTCTTTCAACTCAAACACTGTGATTCTATGAATTTTCCCTGGCTGTGCTCTATGCATCTGCAAAAGGCACTTTTATTGGCATTAATTCTCTTCTCCTAACCCAGTGATATGACATGAAGAACTGAGGCAGATCTGAGACAAGCTGAGCACGACCCGCAGTTCTGATCTCTCTGCTTCCTCTTGATCCTACAGGAACCTCTCCCAAGCTGTTGGCATCAGTGGTTAGCAGGAATCAGTTTGCCCCAGTCACCACACCAGAGTGTACTAGTATGAGATGAACATGATGGGATACTTAAAAGCCGTTCTTGATCCTTTAACATTGTCAACACCCTACTTCTATCCTGCTTTGTATACCCCCATCTGTTTACAGCAGAAGCCTACAAGAAAGTAAAGCATCTCAGGTCTCAAGAAGAACAATGCCAATGCAGAATGAAAGGAACTGGGTGTATCCAATTTTGCATCATTTGTCCTTGCATCTGAAGCATCCAGAATTTCTATCACTCTATGGCAAAGTACGAGAGAAGACAGAGCTGAGCAGGATGAAATGCAAAGGGGCTGTAAACTGAACATCAAATGAGTTTGATCCCCACTTGCCCTGGCTGTGAAGTACATATGCTCAGACGTGGCCTCCTGCTTCAATAAATAAATAAGAGCTGGGCTGAGCAATGTGGTTTAAAAAGAAGATTATATGACAGTATGTTTTATTTCACAGCATGATAGAAAATGATTAAAGAAATGTGAAGAAGAGTAAAAGATTTCCTCTTTTAGCTTTACTTTCAAATACACTAATAGTACAGAACCACTCTGATATGCTGCTGCATGTATCACTTCTATGCCTATTACCCAGCTTCTTAGAAAAATAAAATCCAAGCCTACACATTCTACCTCAGAGCAGCAGCACAGATCTCATATAGCGAAAGCTTATGAATGGTAAAGCAGGAATTTAGAGCAGTGAAAACACAGTCCAAGCTTAGGGGTTTATTCTCCTTTTATTGCTTTTATATAGTTTCAGCATTCATGAAAATTACGTAGAAACATTAAGAGTCAAATAGACTCCTGCAAAATGAGCTCAAAAACGAAATGAAAAGAGGGAGAGAGCAGTGAATAACTGAATCCTCTGAGCTGGAAAAATGTCATGCCGGCGTGTTGTAGGAGCATATACAACCTGTGCTACTGCGCACCCACTTTTCTGTGGGCCTGTGTGATTTATGAACCTGGCAGCAATGCCATACCTACCCACAGGCTCTTCCTATCTTCCCTCCCAACCCATCAGCATGCTTCCACAGAGAACTGCCAAGGAGACTGACACAATGCAAACGCAGTGGTTTGGCTGCCTTTCAACCTTCTATATACCCCGGAGACAGAAGGATTACATATTATTAGCAATTATGAAATTTAATCCTCTATACTACATTGCATATGATCAAGCTTTATTATACTCTAGTGAGTCTTACCATAGTATGAACATCAGATTATAAACCTATTTTTTTAATACATTGACTTTAATTTTATATATAACTTTCTCTGTTGCAATGTGGTCACTTCATTCTGTAATGCTGTTGGAGTGCGGCCCCAAATCACTGCACAGCACTGATGCGTGCACTGGAGAAAAAAAAAAAAAAAAGAAAAAAAGAACTTGACTTCTCTTTCCTATTTTCTTTTTAACAAAGGAAAATTTGAAGCACGTGTGGATTAACTGATACTATTACAGCTGCAGATGCAACCTGGAATACTAATAGGAGTGAAAAACACGTCTCCAAAATCCTAATGCTACTCGCAAGATCATCCTGGCCTTCCACACTGTATCCCCACAATTAGAAGAGAAAAAATAAGTAAGAGTCATCAAAATGTCCACGCCGTGGGCAGTGTGGCCAGGCAGTATAAGGTGTAGTTCAGAGTCTTCACTCTGCCCACTTAAAACTCAATGTTCCACCGTTTTCTTATACTGGTCTTTGCTGTCATAAACTGTGATACATACAAAAATCACAGCACTCTTTCTCATGGTCCACTACCTTAAGTGAAACATGATTGTAGTTAACAAAATGACATTGCACTGGCTGACTGCAAATGTAAAAGATAACCAACCACCATCTTTACAACAATATGTACTCTTTGCTCAGTCAAGGATTACCAAGCCTTAATCCCTGTAAAGCAGTAAAATATTTGATTAGAAGAGACGAGAAAGCAAAAATAATTCTCAATGTAATGATCATTACACATTGCTCCACTCTGCCTCCCCATTCTGGGAAGAAGCCATATTTATCCAGCAGTTTTCCCTACCCACTAACCAGCAACACGTACGCCAAGGAGTCCATTCCCACAAACCATAATGCTCAGTTGTAACACTCTGTTCTGCAGGACAGGCTTTTGCTCCCGGGAGAAGATCTGAGTGATTTGCATTGAATGCCTCCTCAAGCCTTTCCCTGCCCCACACCACAACTCCTCTCTGTACTTTCCTCCCTTGTGTTATCTCCAGCTTTCCCAATCCTCATAGTAATTCCAGCACTGCACCATGTCCCAGCTTCTCCTTACTTCCCATTTTTCCCAGCCCCAGTATTGCGCGAAGGATATTAAAAGGGTTGCCTCTATTCACCTGTATGAAAGTTGGAGGAACTTAGTACCTTCGAAATCAACCATTCTTCCAGTTAAATGACTAATTGGTTCAAGAGTTCGGAAGGCTGACAGCACAAATAAAAAAACTTACTACCTTAAGTTAAAAAGTATTCCTCAAAAGGAAGTAAGTAAATCAGTGATCAAAAATGCTAAAATGCATGTCTTTTAATAGTAATTATAGCTCAGAGCAAGAACAGCAAATCTTGTTTCCTACATAACTGCATACAGAATAACAGCCATTATTTAATCATCTTCCACCTCAAAAAACAAAAGGAATATGATACCCTTAATACTATTTTGCTACAAAGGGAAAAGTTAAAGCACCTCAAATTTAGATTCAATTCTGTACTTCCATAGTGAAAAACAATGCAGTGAAACAAATCTAGGCTGTGCATTCATGTCTATAGAACGACATAACATTCATACAGAATGAATGTAATTCTACTCATCACAGAACAGTGATTAATTAAGCAAGGTCCTAAGTGATTTCTCTTACTTGATCATACTAACCCCAATTCCTACACATTGCTCATCTCACAAAGACTGGAAGAAGAGGTCTGCTGCTTAGGACAAGCAAATATCAGGTGGACTTTGAAGTTTATAGCACACCTATATGATCATATTAATGCATTTCAAAATTAGAAACTATCATTTTGATCAAAATCATCATAAAGGAAATCTACCATTCGAAGAAGAAACAAGTAGTTTCCTGACTCAACAATGAAATATTTATATAATTATATTTATATATATATTTATATAATAATGCTCAATGGATAAAAACACCAAGCAAGCAAACATCGTCCTCCATCAGGGAGGCTCATTATTATGACTGGGGAATTTTAAGCAGCAGTGAAATGCATCACATGAAGCTTACTAAATCTGAGGAGCTAAGGGAAATCTATAGTCCAGGTTAGAATGCCTTTATTGGACAACAGTGATCCAATAACTCTTTAGATGCTCCCACTGCCAAAGCAGCCTGGACAGCTGCACGCCGAGCTCTCATCACTTACTGTTATGCTCTGGAATATGAGGTGAAACTTTTGGAAGTATGGACAGAGATAAGATAACAGATAGAGACCAATTCTGGATGCACAAGCTTCCTTGAAACACCACTTTCACTTCACAGGACGTGAAATTTTCAAAAAATTTCAAAAAGAAATATACATATACTTCCTCTAAGTTCAAGTCAAGAGCAACCAGATAGCATTTTACATTCTGTAAAAGCCTGCAGCGACTGCAAATACCTTCTCCTTTCGATGATTCACAGAAGAGTGCCATTCTCATGTGTCCTTTTGACTCATACTGAAGCCTAATTACTGCTCTTTTATTGCTGCACCCATTTTCTCACATCTGTCTTTTGTTTTCCTTTTATTTCTTTTAATCTTCACAATTTATAGATATAGCCTTCTAACTTTTATTCTTTTTTAACTCTCCTGTGCTTTGGCACTGCTTTTCTTTTCTTCAACTTTTCAGGAAGCCAGACACTGTGATAGTGTTATTTTGCCTCCTTTTATTTAATCTGTTCAATTCTTCTGCTGCAATGAAAGGCGAGGGATGAGGAATACTTTAGTTGTTAAGATACTGCCCAAGCCTGCAGCTATTTACTTATGAACTGATTATGTGAATGACTGTGTTTGAAGTCATTAGAGGTCTAAGGGAAAATGTCATGTAGGTTATAATATAAAAGCTGGAAATAACAGCTGTTTTTCAAACCGCAGTGTAATCCACTATCCACAGCTGCAAATCCCTGTTAGTGCAGGTGTTGAGGCACAACTGAGATCAATCTCTGTCTCATTTTTGTCTGCCCATTGCCTGTGGCTTGTAAGCCAACCGTTCTCTCCATCAGGTTGATAACTACTACCTTAATTTTGTTTAAATAAAGCAGGATCCTGCTTTGAAACAAACAAATGAACAACAAACAAATAAAACAGCAAAAATGCATCAAACCAACAAGCTCAGAAAAGGCCTAAGAATTGTGAATGATCAAGGAAAAAGATCAATGTTTGCTCTAAAAACAGAAGAATTACATATGTGATGTATTATTACATTGTGAGGAGGAAAGACATTTCAGCAATTAAGACAAGACTAATTTGAATCATACTAAAACCATGATCAGTTTTACTAGACTCAGTCTTCTGGCTGCTGCCAAAGACAACTTTCTTCAGTCTCCAAGTTTAACATGACAGTAAAAATACTGCTCCCAACACTCAAGCATGGTCTTCCAAGATCCATGAACTGCAACAAGATGTGGCTGATACATCTCACATAACAGACAGAAGGTCTGGAGAAGAAGGTGAAGGTGTTACACAGCTGGACTGCATAAGAGAGTAACCTGACCGAAGGGAGTATTATGACTGTGAGGAGTCTGCAAGGACTGTGTGTCTCCTTCTCCCAAATACCAACAAAACTGGAAAAAATGAATGGCAGCGACATTTTTGACACGGATGACAAAGCACCTCACACCACCTAGTCAGCTGCTGTGCCAGAAGTGGAAGCAGGTGGTACTAGCATTTGCCCTGAAGGCAACTCTGACCATTCTGAATCTCAGACGCCTGTGAGAGAGGAGGTGGCAGAGCGGCCTGCAGACCACCTGCTGTTTTCTTGGAGGCAGAACAGAGATGGCATTGGGCCACTGGGACCAAGCCAGCTCCTGCCCTGCTGACTGACAGGTTTGGTCTTGATCCCTGGAGGAAAACGTATTGTTGCTGTGAAAGGCCAAAAAAAAAAAAAAAAAAAAAAGTATGAATGGACAATTTAGGGAAATAATTTCTTATAAATCCCCCTTTTTCATTAATACTTTACGTCCCATACTGTTTTTCCCATTCTGTTTTTCAGATTACTTGTTTTAAGACTACTCCCTAAATTATACTGATTCTGCTGCTTTTCTAAATAGTTGGACATTCTTAATTAATCACTTTTCCTACACAGAGCAGAAGGAAATATTTGAATCTACTGATTATATTTTTTCTGTGGCACAGAGCATATAAGAATAGGTGATTTCAATAATCTTTATTACCGCTACAGTCTATATTAACGCGTTTTGTATAAATCATTGCCTCTACTATCAACTGAGCTACTGCTCCTGCAAATAAAGCGATACCTTGTTACCTAGCAACTGAGCAAGTCGCTGCCACATTGGAAAAAAAAAAAGAAAAAAAAAAAAAAGAAAGAAAAAAGAAATTATGTATTTATATACCCCTTGGTTTCACGTTGAGAGAACATCCATAAAGAACAAAGAATAATCCACTCAAATTCCCTAAAATTCAATATTGAAATAAAATATTTGATCCTCCACATTTCGTAAGCATCCTCAGAAGCTAGGTCTAGATTAAACATGCATTACTTCTTACTGACAATGCAATGTTCTTGCTATGCATTTCTTGGAATATTTTATTAATGCATATGTAAGTACAAAGGCATTACATATATAAGTCATGGCAGGCTCTTAATGCTACATCTGAACTGTATTAGAATAGGAATAGCTATCACAGGGCTTTTTTTAAAGTCCTCTTGCTTATGCTAAATCAGTTCCTTTCCTGTTTAACATAGCAATGTGCAGTAGCACCTTTTCCTGATGCAATGTTTCGTTTTAGGATTCTGTCATTTGTACAAATTTGCCCTTATGTGCTACAAAACCCACCTCTTCATTGTTTCATATTTCACGTCTGTTTCTGACAGCATGCCAACACAGTGTTGGTCAAATATAAGCAGTGGGAGCTCAGGAGTACTACTTGTGAGGATGAGCTACTGCCTGGAGTGACATGAAAATTCTACAGCAGCCTCTGAACTCTCGAGCTATTCGCACATGTCCTGTCCATGCTCTATCCCAAGCTGAAAAACACAGTAGAATTCATGGTCCTATGACTGCACAGTATGAAGACATACCCTTCACTATAGCAAGAACTGCCAAGAAACTTGTGAAGTAGGGAGAATATGAAGCCATGACAATTGCTGTCCTGAAGGCCCACAGTTGCATTGGCAGGTGA